GGGGGACCAACTTGGTAAGTTGTTGCCTGGGGGCTTGCCTAGTTGTCACGAGGTGCCACGTGTCACAATTTCACTGGAGGGCCAAATCTGCCCTCATCAGAAGCCTTATACAGATTCATAACTGGAGCCCCACCTGTAACGAAGTTGAGGTTATAGATGGATGTACCCAGCTGAAGCTGTTAGGTCTTCCCTTCAATCTTTGGCGGGACTGTTCTCGAGCAGATTGTTAGAAGCTTAGGAGGGGTGTTGATGGAAGCTAATAAAAGAAATTTGGGGGCAGTTGAGCTTCAGGTTGTGGGAATCAAGCATGAGTACCTACCTAGGTTCTTCGAAATTTGTTTAGATGGTGCTTGGTACAGGGTGTGGGTGGCGTCAGAAGTCGAACAGTCGTGGTGGGGAAGAACTCCCAAGGCTGAATACAAAGATGAGATGGCAGGGTGGTGGACACGTGGAGGAAGGAGATTGGGTAAAGAAGATAAGTTGCAGGGGAAAGCCAAATTAGCAATTAATCAGTCGGCTGGGGTAAACCAAACGACAAGTCGCCTTTAAAGGAAATTAATTCAAACTTTTTTGAATCGAGTAAAATTAAAGTGGGTGACTTAACCTTTGCTGATATGGCAAAGAAATTAAGTGGACCAAGCCGTGAACACCGGATGGCCTGGTCTGAACCGGCTGGGGTTAAGGGTGGTTCGACTGCTAAACCGGGGTACAGGTTTAGCGACCCACGTGATAACTTAAAAGATCATGTGGGTTGGGGCAAGGAATTGGACGTAGGTCCGACACTAGACAGTTCCTACAGTCTATCTTCCTCTAAAATGGTGAGGTCCATTGGGGACAAGTTGTAGTGGCGGAAAACAGGCAGACAGGGTGACTTACGGTGGGTGATCTGCCAAGATCGAGCAGAACCTATCTCCTTGAGGCGCTCCACAAAGAGACCAAACCCTAGATTTGTAAGAGAGAGACGTGAAGAAAAGGTTGGGGTGGATGAAGGATGGGTTCACTGCAGTGAGAATGATGAAGACTCGGTTGATAGCTCAGGCGCCGGTACTAGCATTGGAAGTGTGAATGATGATGGAGGCTATGATGAAGGCGATATGGGTTTGTTGAACATTGCAGGCCTATTTCAGGGGGACATAGAGGAGCAACGGAGAAGCATTCTAGATGACCAGGAAGGTTCGATAGGCGATGAAAGAAGTCCTGGGGTTCATGAAGTGGGGATGAACTCTTACGGGAATAACCCATTTCCAAGACTTCAGATTGTGCAAGGCGCAAATAAAGGGGTAAATCAGGAGAACCTGAAGCAGAGTAGAAATACACCAACAAGGGGTAAACCACAAGGAGAGATGACAGATTGCCAGGTTGTCCAAAGGACAGAAATGCTTCACAACCAACTCAGGGAGACAGAAGTCACCAACTCTCTGAACAAGACATGAAGGTTGAGAACATTAACCCGAATCCACTTCCAACCCTCCAGTCAAACCCGGGTAATCAAGTGAATTTAGTTTTTGCTACTGATGCGTTTTCTGTGTCGTATGTTCCAGATTCCAATCCCATTCCAAGTTCAGCAGCCCTAGCATGCGAAGCCAACAAAGGTGGTGGGTGCTCTAAGCTTGTGGAGAGGGTGATGAAGGACCATGGGGAGGAGTTGGAAGGAAGGGATAAGAATGAGAAGGTGTGGGAAATTATTGAAAGAATATTTAGTGAAGTGGAACAAAATATGTTATGGAGGAAGGATATGAATGAGATAAGAGGGGAGGGGTCAATTGAGAGGAGAGAAGGAAAGGAGGGGAGAAATGAAGGGGAAGAGTTAGAAAGGACAGTGGTGGAGGGATCTAAGAGAGAGGATTTGATAGCAGAATTTGTGGGGAGGCTGGGATGTAGAATGGAAAACTTGAATGGTCAGCTGCTTCTTTCATTACCCCCTTATCTTCCATTTCTGGGTTTGGGTGGAATTTGGGCTTGAGGAGGGCTGTGAGAGACTCAGACCTTGATAGTATTTCGAGTCTCCTTGGACTCCTTGATAATGTTTTCTTAGACCCTGTTAAGTTGGATTCTAGAATCTGGACCCCCACCTCCACTGGCTCATTCTCTTGTGCCTCCTTTTTCAAAGTCTTAAGTCAGTCATCCAGTCCTATAGCCCTTCCCTTCCCGGTTAATGAGGTTTGGTGCAGACTAATTCCTCCTAGGGTTGGTAGTTTTTGCTAGGAAGCTTTTCTGGAAAGAATCAATACTGGTGATATGCTCCAAAAGAAGAGACCCAAGACATGTTTATCCCCTCACAGGTGTGTTCTTTGTAAAGCAGATGGGGAGACTGCAAAGTCTTTTTTCCCCTTTTGGTGTCATTCCAGTTTGCAAAGTCTATTTGGGAGTGGGCTTTCTCCCTCTTTGGGTGTAGATGGAATCCTCCACCAAACTTGCAAAGTCTTTTTTCCCCTTCTTTCTTCAGGTGGCATATGAAAAGGAGAAAGACCATGTGGAGATGTCTAAGGGCTGCGGTATGCTAGGCTTTGTGGGAGGAAAGAAACTACAGGATCTTCTTTGAAGTAGAGAGAGGTGCTAAAGAATTGAGAGAACTGATCCATATAAGGGTTGTATAGTGGCTGAAATCCTCAGAGCTGTTTACAGATTACAGAGTGGATGACATGTTGAGGAAGTGGGGTGAGATTGCTAATTGTACCCAGACCAAAACAGTAATGAGTGTGTCTTGGACCCCCCTCCCCCCACTTATTGGTTTCTTAAAACTAAACTTTGATGGTAGTAGTAGAGGGAGTCCTAGACACTCGGGGATTGGGGGTGTGTTTAGGGATGAGAATGGGTTTGTTTCAGCCCTGTTCTCAGGCCCAATTGGAGTGGGTAACTCTCTCAAGGCCGAGATCTATGCAATTATGGAAGGAGTCCAAAGAGCAAAGGAGATGAATATAAGAAATCTCATAATTGAAGGGGACTCGGTGGTGGTAGGGTGGCTGAATAAAGACAACAGCGGGTTATGGATGTACAGTAATGAGAGGAGGAAATTTAGGTGGCTGGTTCAAGAGATGGAAGTCAAGATCAGCTGGGTGAAAAGATCATCTAACTCTTTTGCTGATGGGTTAGCTACGCAAGGGGTTGAGAGGGAGCCAATGTTTTGGGCACAAGTGTAACTTTTTCTTTTTCTGTTCTCGAGGGCTCAAGCTTATCTTCCTCCTCGTAATTATTTCTGTGATTAATTAATGAAATGTTGTTATTGATCAAAAAAAATTAAAACAGAGCTCAAAACAAATCTCTGTACAGATCTCTAGGATTTCAGTAACAGAAGGATCTCTGGGATTGGATTGGATTAAAAAATTTCTTTCTTATTAAGGCAAACGTAAATCCATGGTAGTTAGTCAAAGTAAAGTAGACATGAATTCTCAATAAACAATAATTTTCTATAGAAGCACTCTTGAGGGAGCCCACAAGATCAAATGACTATAGGCAGGCTTCTCTAAAAGGTTTCAGTCATTCTATTCTTAAGTCTATCTTCTCTAAAAGGGAGGACCACAGATGACTACAAAAATAGTGAAGTTTACAAAGGTGATAAATAGATTAAAATTCATGGACATTCTGMTTCAGAAAGCAGAATTTACATGCAACAATTTCAAAGAAAGCTTGATCCCAACAAAGCACTATAAGATTAGATGGGTGCTGTGGACCGGATTGGACTGGTCCAATCCAATCCACTGTCTTATTGGACTGTTCAACTCATTCAAATTGGTATTAATTCAATCCAGATTGTGTCCAACCCAAACATGGTCCATTGACAACCTCACAACCCCAATCTTCTTCTATCAATAGACTAGACATTGGTTCAACCCAACCCAATCCAATATAAACCATTATAAATGGACTAGGTCCAGTCCAATCCAAATTTTATAAGCAAATATTTTATAAAAAATATTATAAGAAAAAAAAATACCCGTGAAGCAAAAATGTCCAAACTAGATGCATGGCATATGCTCCAATATCCTGAAACAAATCATTTGCTTTGCCAAATTAGATAAATGCGAATATTTTGCAAGTCAAATAAACTAATTATAGACCATTTGCCATATCTTACATGTTCGATTAGTGTCAGTTGTAGAAGTCACACATATAGGAGAGGTAGCAATGGCTTCAAGATCCAATTCTAAAACATAATAATGCACAACCAAAAACACATATTAGAAACAAAACATTTAAATAAACAGAAACATATAGGAGAGACAAGTACGATATTGTAGTTGGAGCTTCTAACCAATCTTTCCCACAAACCAGAGCCTCCACCATTTCTAGAAGTAATGAAGTACGATATTGATCCACTATTCTACCCCCAGTACTGAATGTTCCCTCAGATGCTATAGTGGATGCTGGAATTGCCAAAATATAATGTTCCAATCTAGAGAGTTTCGGAAACTTAGGACCATCAATTCGCCAGAATCTCAAAATATCAAGCTTTTCACCTCTAGGAAATAGTTTTTCTTCAAGATAAAGATCCAACTCTGACTTTTGAGTCCCTAGACAACATTCCAGACACTCTTCAGTCAACCACCAATCAAAACCGCTCAAAAAATCTACAACACCACAAATCTTCAATGGCTAAGATGCAATACTAGAGCCTATAAGTGACTTATTCTCTATATCAAAACCCGCATACTCTAAATATAGGTCATTTAATGCCTCTCTAACTCTTGTAACATGCCTCTCAGCAGTGTCTCCGTAAATGAGATTGTAGTAATATGTAACAATCTCCATCTTAAACCTGGGATCAAGGACAACGACAACCGCAAGCACCAAAGAACATTCATCCCAATATTTATCAAATTTTTGCTTCATTCTATTTGCCATTAAACAAACATACTCATATTCACTATCTAGCATAGTATTCAAGGTGTCTAGGCGATTTTGGGCAACACTAGGGCACCTAGTCACTAGGCGGGCGCCTAGGCATCACCTAGGTGATAAAAATTTTATAATATAAAAATCTGACTTTTGGCTAGTTTCCTAGTTTTATATACCATTCAACATGTATGTTAAATGAAAAAATAGCAATTCTCTTTATTAAGAACATTAAATTTCCTCTAAAAATGTGGCAAATCATCACATCTAAAAGATAAAAATTTTTTACATATATTGATTTCATTATTTTCAAAAATAATACTACTATAATAAGTATTTATATTAATTAGCAGCTAAAGATGGTTATCAACTTTATATGATAAATATTCAAGATGAAAAGTAAAATAGAAAAAAAAACAAGGATTTTCTGTTTTATTTAATTAGAGAGAGAGAACAGAAAAAAATAACTTCATTATTCTATTCTTTCTTTCTTTCTTTCTTTTTCTCTTCTCAAAACCCTTTGATCTTTTAAATTTCAATAGTAAACATTAAAACAAAGTATAATTGATATATAGCATATAATAAAATGTATTAACGCATACATTAATAAGATACAACAATATAAATGATATTATAAAAGGCACCCGCCTTGTCATTTTTGTCGCCTAGGCGAGTGCTTAGTTGCCTAGAAGGGCACTAGTTGCTAAAAGTCAAGGCGTTTGGGCGAGGCGCCCAGCCAAGGGCGCCTAGTCGCCTAGGCGATGCCTTGACAACTATGCTATCTAGCCACTAAAGCAACAAAAGCTTGATTGTGCAAATATCGAGAAAAAATACATTTGAGGTTGGAGAAGTAGTACTTGAGAAACTTTTTGGGCAAATGTAAAAAATTTGCAAACAATTCCGTACCACTGCCCCCATCTCCCATTCCTCATCAGATGGAAGATTCTATAGTTGTGTCCAACATGTCATATGTCGAGTTCCATCGCGTTGGACAATCAACAGTCACCCCTCTCTTATGCTGTACTTTTGCTTGGCTACTTGCATTGTCAATGTTTTGCTTTTTATAGGGTGTCAGCCTTACATATTTAGCACTTTCTCAAATCTTATGTAACAATGGTGATACTTCTCTCAACCCATCTTGCACACTAAGGTTTAAGATGTGAGCAGTACATCTCACATGAAATAGGTCACCATGCAATGGGAGCAAACCCTTAACACAAAGCCGATTCCTGAGCTCCCTAACCATAACATCATTGTTAAAGGCATTGTCAACTGTTATAAAACATATTTTTTTATCAATGTTCCAAGTTAACAACCTCTCCATAACGACTTCATACAAAGTGTTTCCATCACGGGGACACTCAACTGCCACAAATGCAATAATTTTCATTTTCAGCTCCCACCCATCATCTATAAAGTGTGTTGTTAAACAACAATACTCCAAATTTTGTTCCGAAGTCCACATATTAGTACTTAAGCTAATCCTACAATCCAAACCATCAAAGTATTTGTACAACTTCTCCTTTTCATTCAAGTAAATCTTCATAACATCATTGTTTATTGTATTTCGAGAAACAAGCCTAAATGATGGTTGAAGATTATTGTCAAATATCTGAAAAAAAAAAAACAAAAAAACTCTTCTTCAACTATACTAAAAAGATGCCCATGCTTTATTATCATCCTTGCTAAGTCCATTCGGCTCCTATCTTGGTCAAATTTGAAGTTTTCTACAACTTCTTGTTCACTCGTGCCCTTTTGTTTTAATTTAGGACATTTTGGTACATGCCCTAAAAGGTGGCTCATTCCTTTAGAACTTCCACCTATATACTATTTTCCGCAATGTTTACAAATAGCTCTATGCTCCCCAGAATCCAATTTTATTTTCTTAAAATGCTCCCATGCTTTGGACCTAACCCTCTTTCCAGTAGAGCTAGATGCCATAGATAATTCACTTGGGTTTTCAAGCACATTTGCATTTTCAACACTTGGTTCATCCATCCTTATTGCATTAAAAAAATAAAATAAATTAATTTTCACACTAACATGAACAACAAGAAAGTCTAATGAGATTCATATGATAACACTTATGACTTTATCACTAATAAGTAATAAATAGTAGGGGTGTCAATTGGACTAGATTTGGTCCAATCCGGTCCAGTCCAATGTGAGTCCATTATAAAAGGAACAGGTCCAGTCCAATCCAATGAATGTTTTGGACCAATTTGGACCGGTCCAATTCAATGTCTAGACCGTCCAATCTGTTCAAATTCATTTTGATTTAGATTGGTTTCAATCCAAACCCGGTCTATTGACACATATTCTTATTTCATACCAATGGACCAGATATTGGCTTAATCCAACCCAATCCAATATAAATTGTTATGGACGGACCAGGTCCAATCCAATCTAATAAATATTTTGGACCGGATTGGTCCAATCCAATATGTCTTGTTGGTCCATCCAATCCATCCAAATTGATTTTGGACTGGACGGGGTTCAATCCAAAACCGGTCCACTGACACCCTTAATAAATAGTAAATAAGCTCAGTTGTTCCCAATGAGTTTGAAAGAGATTAAACAAAACAAACAAATACAGTAATTGTGAAATAGTGATTCCATAAGACAATAAGATTGTTTACAAATAGGGATGTCAATGGATTGGATATTGGTCCAATCTGATCTGGTCCAATTCCAATATGAGTCCATTACAGATGGACCAAATCCATTAAGTCTGAACTGGTCCAATTCAACATTATCTTATTGGACTGTCCAACCCATCCAAATTGGTATTGATTTGGATAGGGTACAACCAAAACCATAAAAACACATTAGCCTCAACATCTCTTTATTGTCATAAAACTAGAGCTGCAGTTAAGCACTTAAGCCTACTAAACTAGAGCTAATTCTGTTTTGTCAACAGGAATGAGATTAGTAACCAGATCAACTGAACATTTTTTKATCATCTGAGAGACTAACTAAATGTAATCAAGCATAAGATCAGTAACCGGATTCCTATTATTAGTTACAAATTCTAAGAAAATGTCCAATTTAGTGTCTTATTCCATAATTAAAGAACAGAGAAATAAATGTGTTTGGAATATCTTATCCTGATGAAAATATCCTATTCTGATGTTGGCATTGGAAATTATATGAACATAGCAACTCTACAGTATAGAAAACAGAGCATCAAGAACTAGATTTGGTTCCATTGAAACCTGTTCAAGTTTCCCCAGTTTAGGAACAAAAGCTGAAACCAAAACCAAAAACAATACAAAAACTAAACTGTTTGGAATGACAGAGGAGAGAGGAAATACCTGAATGAGCAAGGAGTCTACTGCATACCGCTGTATAGAGAGAGAGATGAGATAGATAACCACAGGAGAGAGGAGAATGTCACCGGAAGTACAGTCAGAGTTCATGGAATACCACCAGAGAAAAACATTCTTTAGTTCTCCGTTCAATCGCCGGAGGGAGTGGTGGAACGGACCTTTTGATTCAGTGGCTTTGTCCAAATTTGGTCCGCATTATATATGGACCACTTAAATTTGGACTGGTCTGAGTCCATACAATTATTTAGACCGTCTGGTTCGTCCGCAACACCTTCGGATTGGAAGGGGTCCAACCCGAAACTGGTCCATTGACACCCCTACCATTACCTAGTTTAATCTTCATTGCTAGAGCTTCAACCATTTACTTTTGTCCCATGAATCGGCTACCCACTGGTTGAGGCATTTTCAATTAGTCCCTCAATTGCAATTAAGGCTTAGTTTGTGTTGTGAGGATTATTTAATTGTTATTTTACAGTTGCTGTTAGTGTGCTGTCAGCTTAAGATGCTGTCAGACAGTTAGTTTCTTTCTTTCTTATTAGCTTGTTACTAGGGAGTGCCACCAGGGGCATACTTGTAATTTCTCATTCCTTTATATTAAGTTAATGTAAATAAACAAACTGGCTGCCGCCAGATATAGTTTTGAGACTCTCAATCGTATCTTCCTCTTCTCCTCTCTCTCTCTCTCATCTCTCTCTCTGCATGAATGATTACATGGTATTAGAGCATCATTCTGGGCTATAAAAAAAAAAAAAAACTGTTTCTCTCATCTGAACCTAGCATCATTCTGGGCTATTCTCAGTTCCTTTTTTTACTTTGATTTCTTGGACGTGGAAGACAGAGAAACCTAACTGGACTGGTCAGGCCACTTGCGGCTACTTCCTTGGGGTTCTTCCTTGGTCATAACACCAAGGAAACCCTAGCAGAAGAAGGGCGATGCAGTAAAGACTCCCTTCTCTTTGTTCGATGCTGCAGAAATTAATTTCTGGGTTTGCACCTTCGTACAGGTGCTGGACAGGGTGTGTTCTTGTGTTTTTTCTGTGGCCAATGGTGTGAAGGCCTTATTTTTTGGTTTTACACCTTCGTTTAGATGCTGGACTGTTAGTAAGCATGTGCTGTAGTCGAACTGCTAGTATACTATTCTAACGGCTGGTTGCTGGACTGATTACTGGGCTGTTTTAATGGCTGAACCATTACTGGGTTGATTTCAGCAGCTTTTT